CCGCTTGTGGGCAACTTCCAGTCAAACCAATACAAAAGATTGGCGATCACATATTCAGTACTTGTGACACCAAATGCAATTCCAGGGCATTGCCTTCTCCCAAAACCAAACGGAATTAACTCAAAGCACTCTTGACTTTTAAAATCAACTGGGCTGTTCTCAAATCTCTCTGGGATAAACTCTTCTGGTTCATCCCAGAAATCTGGGTGCCTATGAATTGCCCAAGCATTGACGAGCACCTTTGTTCCTGCAGGAATATGGTAGCCTCTGATTTCGACGCTTCTCGAAGTTTCTCGAGGAATTAAAAGTGTACCTGGTGGATGAAGCCTTAGGGCTTCTCTAATAACGCATTTTAAGTAATCCATACGATGAATGTCATTTATCTCCACCATTGCCTTTTCTCCTACCACTCTTCTCACCTCTTCTTGGGCTCTCTTCATTACTCTCGGGTTGTTCATAAGTTCTGACATCAGCCACTCCATTAGAGTCGAAGTAGTCTCAATGCCTCCCACTAACATATCCTGCATGCTTGTATTTATAAAGAGGTCAGCATATAATTAAATGTGTATGTATGTGTGCTTGCATATAGTTCAATCTAAATATGATAAATTAAATTAAGAACTTAATGGGTCATATTAAATTAAGAACTTAATGGGTCATAACAATAAAAGTATTGGAATGAAGTTTATAATACTTTAATGAAGGGTCATTTATCAACAATTTTCATAAATTTCCCCAACAAATAACTTCTTCACAAACACATTTGCTCCAATAAAGGGTTTATATCTTTTTGTGTTCCACAAAGTGCGTGAGGAATAATTAGAAGTCTTTTGCAACATTTTAATTTTCATGACTTCATAGGATATATCAAAATAGAGTTTCTGAAAGAGAGAGATAGACCTGTATGATAGCTTTGATGTGGATATTAGTGAGCTCAAAGTTGACCATGCTATGATCCTTCTGAAGTTGGAGGAGAATATCTACAAAGTCTTTTGGACTACTAGTAAATATTGCCTTATGTTCTTCAATTACTTCACTATAAATAGCGTCCAGAGCTCTAGAAGTGGATTTCAAGCTAGCAATAAAGCCTCTAAGAACATCAATCCATCTCAAAGAAGGGAAGAAATCGGCCACACTGAAGGCTAGAAATTGCACCAACGCCTTTCTTCCTAGCTCGCCTAGTCGGCTCCCACCGCCTTCTTCGGTATCATAATTTTCTCCGAGGACACATCTGGATACAATGTTGTTTGATGTTGAGATCAAAATCTCACTTAGGTTTACAGAATTAGTACTATCCCCAATATTAAGGGAAGCTTTCCTTAACCTCTCCACCATTTTTGTCACCTCTTCTTCCCTTATTGACTGAAAGGATTGCACTCTCTTGAGGCATAAGAGCTGAACTGCACAAATCCTCCGAGCTTGTCTCCAAGACTCGCCATAAGGCGAAAAGGCCATGTCTTTCCCTCCATAGAACAAGATATCAGTTGCGGTCGTTTGCGGTCGGTTCGAGAAAGTGGTGTCGTGGTTCTTGGCTATTTCTTTCACCAAATCCGGAGAAGAAACCACAAGAGTTGGAGCAGCTTGACCGAGGTGCAGGAGCATAAGTGGGCCGTACTTTTCGGAGAGTGCTCGGAGAGAGCGGTGAGGGAATTTTCCGAGCTGGTGAAGGTTTCCGATCACCGGTAACCTTGGCGGGGATGGTGGTAAGTTTAGACTTTTCCTACCTGATGAGGATGATGATCTTTTATTAGCATTACGTGTGAAGAGAATTAGGAGAACGGGAATGATCAGCAGGACAGAAACTGAGATAAAGAAGGAAAGACATAGCTGATCAAGCCACAAATGCTTGGAAATAATTAGTGGGAAATTATTAGCCATTTCTGTTTTTCTTGTTCCCTATAGATGGCCTGGTTCGCTGTGGGAAACATTGCTGCCTAAGCCCATTGTTATATAGTTTTGATCGATTTAGGGAAATATTGCACTTACCACTAACGACGGAGTCAGAAATTTATTTAAGTGGGGACACTAATAAATACTTAAATTCCATAATAAAAATATCAACATAAGTAAATTTTGACATAAGGATTTTTTTTTTTTAATCAAACCTTGTTTCAAGCATAATTAATTTTTAACGTACGCAAGTTTTTGTCCAAAAATAATTTTGTATTATCACTTTTTTTTGCTTGTTTTTTCAGAAGGCTTATAGTTTTTATTTTAATTGTACCTATTTGTAGTAAGGACCTTTTCTTTTAAGGAAATAACGATCTTATAAATAAAACGAAAATTATACGTGAATATAGCAATTACCAATTCTCATAGCAATATATTTAATTTCTTATTGTGCATAATCGTAATAATATATATCACGTTTAATAATCAATAAAGAATAAGTTAAAAATATATTTTTATGATTGTTATGAGTTAAAAGTGAAAGAATAAATAAACCTTCACCTGCCCCTTTGTAACATAGAATATCCCAACAACTCTTTATAAATTACTAGTTTAGTTACATACGATGCACATACATAGTTGTAACAAACTTTTAATAACGTAGAATAGAAAAATATATAAAAAAAAGTTTACTAAAAAATTTAAAAATAGTATATAAATAGTAATCTAAGTAAAAAAGTTTATATGATTAAATTAATAAAACTTTTTAAATTATAAGGTGAGAAAATCATTTAAAAAAATATGCACAAGCAAACAGATTATTCTAGAAAGAAAGGAAAAAAGTTAAAGCTGTGCGTTTTAATCGTTTTTCTGCTCTTTTATATAGTGTAGATGTAGATGAATAGTCATGTTCAGATCGCTGATTTAAGTTTTAAATTTAAATTAAGATGTAATTTTATATGAGAGATTTTAACTGTAGCAGAAAAAGTAAAATGTAACTTTTTGTAAAAGCTTTCAACTATAGTAAAATATAATTAAAACTCGAATCGGTAAAATGAACAATGTTGTTTTATTATCCATTATAACTATGTTAAATCGAAATTCTAAAAAAAAAAAAAAACAAACAAACCATGATATTTATTTTTATATCCCACATGATCCACGAGAGTGGGTCGACTTTTGGCTATCCATACTGCAAGATATTATTACTTTTTATTATTTAATGTAATGATGCAACTCAAATATATTACTTTTTATTATTTAATGTAATTATGCAACTCAGTGGTAAGTTTGATCACTTTTTTCCTTTTTTTTTATTTTTTAAATTCAACGACTGATTATTCATTGATTATTGGTGCAAATAATCAATTACAACATGAGAGATACGATCAGGTACTTCTTCTGGCAACAAAGCTTAGAATTGTCAAATGGGTGACGGTCCGGCCTAGTCCGTAACAGTGCCGGATTTGGCACGGCCTAGTACAATATTGTTACGGGCTTTGCCAGCTCGGCACGCTTGATGGGCTAGGGCTGGGCCACGGCTTCTCAACCTGCAGCCCAAGCCAATGAAGGCCCGCGGCCCGACCCTGTCACGCCCCCAAACCGGGGTTAGTAACGTGCATGCTTGTTTAGAAACTTAAACCTGTTTAAGAGAGTGATTAGCAAATAATGTTGCAAATATTTTAATTTTTCATATCCAAAACATCCAGGTATTTCTAAATAAGCCCCTGCATTCAAGAGAAATTTAATTTCAAGAAAGGTGGTGGAATTTCCAACCAAACCAGTTTAAAACCACGTCCCTGGTATCAAGTCAGGAATTGCCACAGGTGTTTAGCATACATGAATATAAACAAAAGTAAATGTGACATCAACCACAGTCTAGCAATATTTAAGTTTACAATCCATAATCTTTTATACATGCCTTGAGATAAAAGATAAGAGGAAATACAACTCTTCGCTTCCCGAGGTCAAGTCCACGTCACCGGTAGTAGCTACCTACTCCGCACTACTCCTAACATCGCCTGGAGGGGTTTAATAAATTTGAAAATAAAAAAGTGAGCGAAAGACCCAGTATGATAGAATTTTATAAAACATTTAAAATAAAGGTACTCACGGTCCGAAGATATAAACCCGGAACCGTTCATCCCTTTTTAGAAAAGGAAATACTCACATAGTAGAAAATGTCTGTATAATGAAAGTGTGCAGCTCATCATACCACTAAACAAGAAGCGGTACAAATGTCTGTCTAGTGAAATGTACAGAGCCATAGTTCCATGAAACAAGAAGTGGATCCGTACGGGTTTCGGGACCTGCCCCCAAGGATGCGATTCCCACATCCCGATCTCTGAGGCCACCATGCGTTGTATCATTCCTTAAAATATTTCATTTTAAGAAATGATACTCTTTAAAATCTCATTTCCAAAATCATTGGAAAACTTAATAGCATTCACATGCTATTTCTTTAAAATCATTTTCTTTCATCATGTTTTGTTCTAAAACATTTTCATTGGCTAAAATCATTTAACGTAAGGCTAACAAGGATATGGACAAGAATATCCTATCTTTCGAATGTCAAACCTGTGGCTATCTTCACGTAGCCCTAGCTCCGCTTGCCTTTGAGGCTCCAATTCCAATCGTGCCACTAACTTCCCCATCAAAATCAACAATTTAGAGTTTGATCTTTCTCACCAAACATTCTCGCTTAATTAGATGTAATTGTATCATATTAGTGTACCATAGTTCAAAATCAATATTCATAAACAATTCTTAATTCAAATCATGATTCTTTAACAATGGAGATTTATTCCGGTGAATCGAATGGAAAACAAGGATTCATGTGGCTAATCCACTCATTTTGAGTTCTTAAATAAGGTTAGATTAATCCCACATCAAATTTCGTGGTTAAAACAGGGTTTTTGGGCTGTTTAGGGTCGGGTTCAGTGGGAACCGGTCGACCGGTGACAGAGGAGTGTAACTCCACCGGTCGGCCGGTGGAGGGGGGACTAGTCGACCGGACCGGGCGACCGGTGGGGAAGATTTCCAAGGCCAGCCATGGCTGATCCGCGTGAAACAAAGCTAAATCCTGAAATTTTAGGTTTGATTTTGACATATTCTCAAGAGAAATGTATAGAACCAGTTTCAAATCAACAAATAGGGTCCAAAGAATAAAAAAAACTCCCAAATTTCATCAAGGTTTCATCAAAATGCATTCGAAAATGAAATCTAAACAAAAAATCACCAAACTCGACTGAAACGAGTTCCATAAGGCTAAATCTGAAAATCTAAAGTAAGTTTCAAAGAGTTTTACCTCGATCCAAGTTTTGATGTTGAAAACCTCTTGGAAACCTCCGTTTTTGGTTTAAATCCGGCCCTTGCGAAAGAAAACTTTGAGAAAGAGAGGGAGAGATGAACGAGGCAGGGAGAGAGAGAGAGAGAGAGAGGGAGAGAGATAGAAAGAGGGAGAGTGAGCTCAAGAAATTGATAGGGAGAGAGAGAGAGAGAGAGTAACGTGAGGAAGAGAGAGGAAAAAGAAATAAGGAAAAAGAAAAGAAAATTAATTCAGGCACACTAATAAACTACAATTATCATAATTAAACAAGTTTAATTCTAGAGGGCGTTACATTCTACATCCCTTAAGAAATTTTGTCCCCGAAATTAAAATTTACCTCACGATATGAACATATACGGATATCATTCCTGCATCATCGTTTCCAATTCCCACGTTGCTTCCTCAACGCCATGGTGTTATCACAACACCTTCACTAAGGGTATCTCACGTCGACGCAGGCTTTTCATCTTCCGATTAAGAATCTGTACCGGTGCTTGTAAGTCGTGTCATATTGGATCGGCACGTCATACCATTGCACAATGATTTCTGGATCGGGTTGACACTTCCGAAGGATAGAAACATGGAACACATTGTGCACGTGAGACACTTCTGGAGGAAGATCAAGGCGGTAAGCAACGACACCCACCCGTTGTGTGATCTGAAGCGGCCTGATGTACCTCGGCGCGAGTTTCCCCTTCACACCAAAATGAGTAACTCCTTTGCGCGGAGAGACTCTTAACAAGACAAAATCACCCTCTAAGAACTCTAAGGGTCTACGCCTCCTATCAGCATAACTCTTCTGACGACTTTAAGCCATTATCAGTTGTTCCCGAACCACGGCTATTTTCTCATTATTCTCCTGGATAACATCCGGTCCAAGGGTCAGTCGATCTTCTAACTTAAGCCAACAAACTGGCGATCTGCAAGGTTTGCCATACAACGCCTCGAATGGTGCCATCCCAATGCTACTCTGATAACTGTTGTTGTAGGTGAACTCAGTTAAATGGAGATACTTCTTCCAGTTTCCACCAAAATCTAGAATACAAGCACGAAGCATGTCCTCCAAAATCTAAATAACTCTTTCAGATTGTCCGTCGGTCTAAGGATGAAATGCGGTGCTAAAATTCAGTTCGGTTCCCATGGCTTCTTGGAAACTTCTCCAATATCTAGCGTTGAAATGTGTGTCACGATCTGATGTGATAGACAACGGAACTCCGTGAAGTCTGATGCATTAGCAACCATTTTAGATCCTAGGTGCGGAGTAGATGAGACTGAATCTTTGATGACTGCTACAACAGAAAATTTAGGTATTGATATGCAACGAACTATTACTGACGCTAGGAAAATGTTAGAAAAGTTATTTGGTCTGTATGAAGCAAAATACAGAATAGGTCAAAAAGAACGGGGAACTTCGACGTCAACTAGCAGTTCGGGGCCTAAGGGCTCGTCGGGGAGTTTCTTTAAGAAGAAAGAGAAAACGGTAGGATCGTCATCAACACAAGCGTCTACCGAACTAGTAAAATATTTTAAAGCAAATTTTGTGATCGATGACGACAAACTGGACATCTTACAGTGCTGGAAGAGGAAGACCAATTATTTTCCAACACTATCCGTAATAGCACGTGACATTTTGACAACTCCAGTGTCAACGGTAGCATCTTGGAGGAGCTAATGTGCGTTAAAG